TAAACACAAACCGAACATACAACAAGGTTATGCTTTGATCGGTTGACAAAATGTTGTGACTGAAGACTCGAGGGCCTCTGACCTGCCAGCAAAAATGTTGGCATTGCCCCTAAGAGCAGCGATTTAGTATTTGCTGACCCAGCGATAAGGACAACATCACAGAACATGACTACCAGGACTATCAAGAATCAGCTGTCTCTGCAACAACTATAGTGTGACCTGAAAATAATACTGAAAAAGACAGCTACTAATTCAGCTGTGTTTTTTTGTCCACATTCATGTTGAAAGGAGATGCTAAATTTTAGCTTGAATATAGTGGAGACAAATTTTTTTTTTCCTGTTCAAGTTTACAGACATTCTTAATTCTGGGGGTCTCTGTGGTCCTCTGTTAAGAATACCTTACCTATGGGGCTGGGTTGTGGCTCAGCGGTAGAGCGCTCCCCTAGCATGTGCAAGGCACTGGGTTCGATCCTCAGCACCACATAAAAATAAATAAAATAAAGGTATTGGGTCCAAATACAACTGAAACATAAATATTAAAAAAAAGAATACCTTAGCTATGGGATAAAATCAGTGAGAGTATAGGATGGGGAAGTCCTTGTGGATTCCTGGGGGACTCAGGACCTGCTACATGTGTATCTGTACAAGTCTCACACAAAGACTTTCAGCTAATCTGCATTTGCTGTGGGGCTTGAAAACCTTTTGTTATATGACTTGAACCCCAAATGAAAAATGCTTAGGAGTGGGTGGAAATAAAGGTACTTGGAAATTATTCATGTAGAAAATGATAAACTCCATTTCAATGGGGAAGGAAAGACAGATTTTTCTGATAACAGAAGAAACCTAAATTATCTTAGAGTTTTGGGGTATCTAGATGAAGACCCACAGAAAACACACATCCTTCTACCAGGGGTGCCCGGAGAGAAGGCAGCATCTCAATGCACTGCTTTTTTTTTCACCCTTCTTACCATGAGGAATATGATCCAATGATCCAATGGGTCTAATTCAAATGTGTCAAAAAAGAGACCAATTATTTTTATATGTCAAAGAGTAATACTATATGATCTGGACAGCAGGTCCATTCATTCATTCAGCACTATTCTTGAGCACCTGTAGTGGGCTAGGCATTGATGCAGAGACCGTGCATGGACACAGGAGTGCATGTGACTGGCAGGTTCCTATTTCAGCTTTGGTTTAAGTTCTGGCGATTCTCATTCCCAGGAATGGGGCATAGTGGAGAGAGGGGTGCATGTCACCTAGGAAAGCCCTTCAGGTGCCTCTCAGCATTCACCCACTATGATTCAAAAAACTCAAGGACAGCAGTTCCAGGGGCACCAATATAGAAATATGGAACAGGAGCTGTTCCTCCACAATTAGCCTATAAATTCTGTGCACCTAGAAGTTATAAGAATTACTCAGCGGATCTACAGATTCAGAACACTCCCAAACCATGGAGAAAGATGGTCAAATCTCAATGGAGGAACGTGTCTGGGTTGGTCAGGAGAATAGAAAGTGGAAACAGAACTACGTAGATGGGCCCCTCTCAAGGCTCCTGACCCAGGGGAGAGGGTCTAACTTCAGCCTCCGGTTCTCCTGGTGACTACGTTGGTATTTATTATTTATTTGAATTGAGTACTTATTTTATGCAGTATTGTTGTTTTCTCAAAAAGTGAGGTGGTTCACCCCTTTTTCCCTTGATTACTTGGTGCTGTGCTCCAGGAGTAGGGCCAGGGTTCAGGACTCAGGCGTCTTTGTCCTCCTCCATGAGCCTGCTCAGAGATGGAACTGGTTGCTATAGTTTGGATGTTGAATGTCTCCCAAAGGTCATGTGTTCAAGGCGTGGTATTCAGGGTGGTGCTCTTTGGAGGTCTGAAACCTTTGAGAAATGTGGTCTTAGTAGGAAGCATTTAAGTTGTTGAGAGTGCTTGGGACCTGGCACCCTTCCTCTTTTCCTTTTTTGCTCCCTGGCTGTGTGATGAGTGATTTTGCTTTGCCGTTTCCTCCTGCCATGCTGTGTGGCCTCATCACAGGCCCAAAGCAATGGGGACAACCGATCATGGACTGGAGCCTTCAAAATTATGGCTAGAGTTCTTACTAAAGGAATATAGTTTTGAGTGCAGCATTCTCTGGGTTTATTGAGACTGAATGATTAATATTTCAGATTAAAAAAACAATAACTAAATATTAGAGTATTTTGGTGTTTAAAAATAACACGAGATGCTGAAATACCAGAGTAAGTTATGATTACCAAGATCCTACAAGAGGACACATCCCTCAGGATGTGGATATATGAGATTTCCACAGCCCAACACTTCTACGCCTCTTACTCTCCAATTCATTCCCCTTGTTTTTATTTTCTGCTTAAAATAGAAACCTCCTGACAATGTGCTGTTGCCCTTTGTTGACTTGCCTCCAGGGGACATGTGCTGGTTATGCTAAATCAAGAGTGATGCTCATGTGACAGAAATGAATGGATGCACATTTTAAGTCTGCCAGCCCCCCCAAATTGAAGCTGACATACCACCTGGCATATTAACCTTGTGAGTGGAGGTGGATCTACCGTAAGTCTAATTAAGTCTTAGAGTGGGAAAGCTGGGAAAAGCCCCCAGAAATATGTCCACGTGGTCTTATGCTTTGTGAAAATCACAAAAGAAAGATATTTTAAACACAATTGCTTTCTGTATCATCTTTTCTTATAAGTGGCCATGGAAATTTTGGGGATTCTTCCTTTACTTTAGCCAATCAGAAGTTGAAATGGAGATTCATGTAGATTGGTTTTATATGTTAGTCCCATTTTCATTACTGTAACAAAATACACTTAAAGGGAAAGAAGGTTTATTTTAGCTCATACTTTCAGAGGTTTCAGCTCATGATTAGTTGGCCCAGTTGCTTTGGGCATACAGTAGCATAGTACATCATGGTGGGAGTATGTGGCAGAGGAGATCTGTTCTCTTGGCAGCAGGGAAAGAGGAGAGAGGGAGAAAGGAACTGGGGTCCCAACATCCCCGTTCAAGGCCATACCCTCAATTATCTAACCTTCTACCATTAAGCCCCCCCCCCCCAAAAAAAAAAAAGATTGCACTGTGTCCCAATAGTGCCACAGGCTGGGAACAATCCTTTAAAACGTGGGCCTTTGGGGGACATTCAAGATCCACATGGTGGCAGTTTAGGTTAATATTTGTGTGATTTGCAGGTGTTTCTCTGTATAGTTAGGCTATTGCTAGTTATTGTTCACCAGTGTCATAACAAAGGTGGCCAAAGACCAACAGTCATATTGCAATTAGAAATATGTGGTTCATGGAGGACAAATGAGATGAGAGATGAATAGAACCAGAAGCCAGTCAGTGGCAATGGACTCCCATCATCAGATGTGCATGGTGAACAGGAGGTGTTTTGCACTGGTGCTCAGCACTCACAGTTAAGAATATATTCAATGATAAATCATCTGTAGTCAGCAATTGGTATCCACGGGTTCCGTGCCTGCAATTCAACTAACCACAGATTTGACCATCGGCAGATTGTTTACTGTATACTTAGGCCTATGATGATTCTTGTCTATAATGAACATACACAGATATTTTTCTTGTCATTACTAAATAATACAACTTAACCACTATTTACATGACATTTGCATTGTATTAGATATTATAAGTAATCTAGAGATTGAAGTATACAGAAGGACGTGTATCAGTTGTACACAATTCCCTTTGAGGGCATGCTCCCAGTGACCTAAAACTCATTAGGTCCCACTTCTTTAAGTTTCCAGTGCTTCCCAATAGGGATAAGCTGAGGACAGAGACTTTAACCCATAGACTTTGGGGAACATTTAGGATGTTACAACTTTTTTCAAATAGTTTTTGATCCTCAATTGAATGAATTTGCAGGTGCAGAACCTGCAGTCTGGAGGGCCAACCATACTAGAAATGGAGAGTGAGTCTCTCACAGCTTACATTCAAAGGAAACCTGACAGAGGTCTTCCCACTGTGACGACACTCCTGAAGATTTATACAACTTTGCCAATAATTATTCGTGTCACTGAAAGAAACTCTTTTAGGGGCTGGTGTTGTGGCTTAGTGGTAGAGCACTCGCCTAGCACATGTGTGGCCCAGGGTTCAAACCTCAGCACCACATAAAAATAAATAAAAATAAAAATATTAAAAAAAGAAACTCTTTTAAACTCTCAATAATAAGCTACAAATTTTAGTTTTTAATTCTTTCTGTAGACAATGATGTCACAAAATCATTGTTATAAGGAAGAGACAATCAGATTATGCAGCTTTAGAATGCAGGGGAAGCTTTAGAATGTGGCTCAGTGGTAATAGCCCTTGCTTAGCATGCAGGAAGCCCTGGGTTCTATTTCCAGCAAAAACTTCTAAAGAAAAGATGTTTATCATTTTCATGGACTTTGTGGGACTTATGGTACTTGTTGACTTTTAACAGTTCTTAATTTGCTCTGATTTCTTTTTTTCTTCTAAATAAGTATTCAAGTTTATGCCTAATTTTGTATTTATGGTTTTTGTGTGTTGTTTTTATTTTTTATTTTTTGGGGTACCAGGGATTGAACTCAGGGGCACTCAGCCACTGAACCACATTCCCAGCCTTATTTTTTATTTTATTTAGAGACAGGGTCTCACTGAGTTGTTTAGTGTCTTGCTTTTGCTGAGGCTGGTTTTGAACTCAAGATCTTCCTGCCTCAGCCTCCTGAGTCACTAATCCCAGTCATGTGCCACCAGGCCCAGGTTGCATACTGTTTTTAAAGAGGGCCCATGACAGTTGAATGTCCTGCTTGTGCAAGTCCTTGGCAGCCATCCAGCAGCCTTTCTAGGAGAAACCTCAGCTTGCTGGGCCATCTTTAAGTCACCAACAGGGGCAGGGCCAATCCCTGACACACCAAGACCATGTGCAAATTGTTGAACATCATTGGGTGGTTTATGTTTTAAGAAGACCCCTTTTTAGAATGACTAACTGTTGTAGGGCACAGAATATTCCCAGGCTGGAAATCATCCTCAAACCGCTTTATTAAGGGTTATTTCAGGAAAAGTTGGAGGGGAATTGACCCTGGAAGAACACGGCACCACAACAGTATTCAGCTCTGCTCTTGAGGAAAGAATTTTGCAAAGATGCTCTGCAGAGGGTACTTTGGGCCTGTGACATAGGGGCCCCTCAACACGCTGCTGATGAGTTGATCCAAGTTTCTGCCTCCCTGTGATCCTCAGGTGTGTATGCCTGAGACACTCAGTGCCCACCTTGGTCTCCAAACACCTGCTCAATCTGGGAATTGAATGGATTCTCCTTTCCCAGGACCTGGGGCCACTGGAGCTGCACTTTCTTCCATAAATTCTCTGCCAGCAGGAATGAAGCCACCTGCAAGAAAGAACCCAAAGGAGGAGGACAAGAGAAATTATAAAAGGGAAAGAATTGACTAGCAAGATTTACTTTATTCTTTCTGTGGTGGGCAGACCTTAGAACAAACCAAGTGAGAGTGAACACAGTTCTTCCCCAGTTGAGTCTCTAAATGAGAACACGGCCCGGATCACTCACCTTGATTTTAGTTTTGTGAGATCCTAAGGGGAGGACCCCTTTAAGCTATATGAAATACAGAAATGGCAAGATAATAAGTGTGTATTGTTTAAATTGCTAAAGGAATTTGTTATTTGATACTAGATGATAAATACACATTTTCAGAAATCACTTATGCCTTTATTTGTGGACGGTTAACATTTGCTGCAGGCCTGAGGCTTGGGTTTGGAGATGACCATGACGAAGCCTCCCTTCCAGGAACTCCTAGCCTAGGGAGGGGACCAGGAATACAAAATTACACCGCCAAACCCCTAGGGAGGGCTGTGATGATGAGGTGCACACCAGAGGGGAAGGGTATCAATCCTGTCAAGTGGGAAAGGGGCAGGTCCTCTTGCAAGAAGGTGATGACTGCACTGAATTTTCAAGAAGGAGGTGGCCAGAAGATGCTGTGGGGAAACAGTGAGCATGGGGGAGGATGTAGCCTACGGGAGGGAGTATCGTGTTAGGGGACTATGGATGCCTGAGGTGAGGCTGGGCAGGGCACCTGAGAGGGGTGGGATCCTGGAGGAGGCTGTGGGTGTGGGCAGTCAGGCTGGAGGGCCAGAGTGGGGCATTCTTGCTTAATGCCTAATGGGCTGAGCTCTTGATCTCCTGCGTGACCCCTACTCTCTCTGATCCTGTTGCTGCATGTCAAGTTTTCCAGCAGGATCCCATGTTGGTTGTCCAGTACTCTGGCTTGTCATCGGCATCTCTTGGAAGAGGAGATTCTTTCTCTGCAGATGATGATGTCCTCATTTGGCAAATGAGGCCTAGCCAGGCCTTTGAGCCCCAGATGGCTCCATCTCCTCAGTGAATTTTTAAGGTTGAATAATAAGAGGAATGTGATTGCTGAAGGCCTTAGTGGTAGGTGTCTGACTTTATTCAAAAGCACAGGGACACTTCCCTACAAGGGAGTTTACAGTTCACCATTTTGATAGGCAGTGCTGTGTGACATTGAGCAGCTCATTTGTACTCTTTGGGCCCCAGATCTCTCATTTCCACGGTGAATGAGCTGGAATCATTGATCTAAAGTTCTTCCTGGGTCTAAATTGTGTGTAACACTTTAGTAGGTGTTAGAAAAACTAGAGCTGATTTAGTCATGGCATTAAGTATCCTCAGTATTTTGATGTGTTCCAGAGCCTTCTGAGGTAGACCTAAAATCTCATCTAATCAAACATATAATTATACCCATGCAGTATCTAACACTCTGTAGTCCCTCCACATGTCAGCACATACCATACATACTACACACACCACATACATGCACAGCACACACTGGCCCACCCACATGGCATACTCCTATAACATCTGCAAATATACACTGTCAACATACACCATATACACACCAAGCAGAGTGCGTACACATACACACACACACACACACCACATATACATCCACAACACCCCCCATAGCACATCAAACCCTCCCTTCCCTCATGCACACATTTTGTACTTAAAAGCAGGAGGGAGTCAAAAGTTGCCTGTCAAGCTGACCATTCTTTGGGAAGGGTCAGATCATCTCCCATACAAAACAATCAGTGTCTTTGAAGACAGAGGCCTGGTCTTGTGTCTGTTTTCCCTGCCATTTTTCAATGAAGGAGGCTGCTGTCAGGTCTGTGGAAAATTACCAGATCTTCTGCTTTTGTTTTTTGGGTTTTGGCTTTCAACTTGACACACCTAGGCTGTCTTTCTAACAAGTATAACATCCCAAGCCACCTGTGGGCACTTATTTCATCTCTGTTCATAAGGGTGGAGACAGAGGGGAGGGTAAGAAGAGGAAAATGAAAGAGCTCATTTGAGCATGTGGCAACTGTTTGGTTTGAAAGCAATTAGATGGCTGTCACTCCAAGAGATTACAATATTTATGAGTGTGTGTTGCTAAAATATTGTATCTCAAATGAGAATTGTTCGTGATGTAGAGACCTGCTATAATCGTTCCTTCATCCCTTCATGTGACTCGCATTTGCTGAGCACCACTGGGGCTTCTCACATGAGCAATCTGCTGTCACACTCCCATGGTCCACCACACAGGAGAGGCCCAGCTGTCCTTCTCTCCTTTCCTTCCAGATCAGCCCTTCTTGAACACAGGTATTCTTTTGTGCTTCTCTATTCAGTTAAAAAAAAGTAAAACAATATCTATTTCATTCTGGGCAAAATGAAGGAGGAAATTCAGCAAAAAGAGAAAACACAGAACAAAAGCTATCTGTAATTAAAATAGAGGTAGCTTCTCTAGCATTGGGTGGAGAAGCCTTTCTGATTTTATATCCAACACACACACACACACACACATACACACAGACACACACACACACACACAGTGGAACCCTCTGAGAATATCATTTTAAAATCTGTGCACATGTGCAGTAAGGGGATCTCTTCTCCATGAATAGTTCCATGAGTGTTGACAGATGCGCACAGTTGTATAACTGCCCTACAATCTTATTTGCTTTGCTATTACCAGTGTATCTGTGTTGGTGAATATCCTCTAAAAGATGGATCTGCTTCATTGTTTTTATTTGATGTGTGGTGTTCCAGCAGGTGGATGCAAGCTCATTTATTTTACAGGTGGAAGATTTTTTCCATACATGTCCATAGCATTTGTCCTGAGGCCAGAGGACAGAGACATCTGCTTCTGCCTGCTCACACAGAATTTCAGCATGGGAGGGGCTCCTAGGCTGCCTGGCTTGTTCCCTGTTGCATACGTGTGTGGAGTGCAATCTAGTCCAGCAGAATGCCAGGGAGTGGGGTGGGGGGGGGCGGTTCTAGTTACATGAGTTCTTCTGGCTAAAGGAGTTAGGCCCTTCTGTGTTTCTTCCTTGACAGTTGAAAACCTTTCAGGGTTCACTTTCTTGCTTTCTTGCATATAAACATGTCCAGTTCATAACATGATAAAGCCAGAAGCAGTTTCTGAGTTGATCAAGTCAGCCTCTTATAATAGAACCTGATGTTTTATTTAATTGCTTGGTGAATTGGAATTGTGCCAAGCTATCCTTCTATTGGTCTGTGACCACTGCTGAGAATTTGATAGGAGATGGGTGGAGTCTATACTGACTCTAGGATGCACTTGAGCTGGATTTCTTAAGTGAAATCTTCTCTGATACAAGAATTTGCCTTGTGGTCCCCTTTGTTTGGTCATTTGATGATGATGATGATGATGATGATGATGACGATGATGATGATTTGCACTAGGGATTGAACCCAAGGACACTTTAACACTGAGCTACATCCCCAGCACTCTTCTGTCTCCTTTTCCCCCTCCCTCCTTCCCTCCCTCTCTCTTTCTCTGTTTCCTTCTTTCTTTCTCTCTCTTTCTTTCTGCAGGGTACCAGGGATTGAGCTCAGGGGCACTCAACCACTGAGTCACATTCCCAGCTCCATTTTGTATTTTATTTAGAGACAGGGTCTCACTGAATTGTTTAGCACCTTGGTATTGCTGAGGCTGCCTTTGAACTCCTGATCCTCCTGCCTCAGCTGAGCTGCTAGGATAACAGGCATGTGCCGCCACTACCAGCCACTCTTTTCATTTTTTAATTTGAAATAGGTCTTGCTAAGTTGCTGAGGGTTTCACTAAGTTGCTGAGGCTGGCCTCACACTTGCTATCCTCCTGCCTCTCAGCCTCCTGAGTCACTGGGATTACAGGTGTGTCCTACTGCAGTTGGCTACATTTTTTATAAAAACACAATTAGCCTAAAGATCTTGCAAGTTGTTTTTACTTTGATTTTTTAAAAAATATTAATGTGGATAGACACAATATCTTTATTTATTTATATATGGTGCTGAGGATTGAACCCAGTGCCTCATGTGTGCTAGGTAATAAGTCCTCTACCACTGAGCCACAACCCCAGTCCCTGTCACTTTGTGTTTTTTTTTTAATCCTTCCAGAACAAACTTTTCATTGGTTGCTTTTTCTTCTCACTGGGATTACTGCAGAGTTAGCATTACATTTCCTAGACTAACATCTACATGATGTCACTATTTTCCAACGCTTCATATCTTTGGTATTGAGGGTACACCTTTCATCACTGAGCATGTTCCCTGGGCTCTCCCATGAGCCCACTGGAGAGATCTGGAGGGGACGTAGGGAACATGCATTTTAAAGCTCCTCACCCTCACCCAGGATCAGTACTGTTTGAGCACTATTTCTTACAAGACTCATAAAAATGTATTTCTGGGTACTAAATCTTAAGTTCTGTGATGTGAACATTGGTGGCTTTTATTCGATTTAGTATGTTTGTCCAGTTGATGGGCCCATTTGGCCATGGAGACTGAGAAAAATAGGAATAATCGAAGATTCTGCAATAGCTCAGGCTTCCTCAGGCACCTCTGCCTGAGAGAGGTTAGAACAGAATCCCTGGGTAATAAGGACACTGTTTCGTGAACTCAGTTGGCTCCCTGTTATTGCAGAACCTCGCCACAGGGCCAGGTGGCTGCTTGTGTCCTGGCACCACTACCTGGTGGGGCCCCTCCTCCAGGGACACCAAGTCTGACATGGTGTGGTACCTCTGTGGAGCGTCACCTGCACACCTGCCTGCTACATTCTGAAGCCAAAACCATGTGGTGGTCATTGGTCCCCTTGGAACACTTTGCTACTCTTTAAAAGTCTCACAGAAGGAGCACCAAATAGGACAACTTAACACCATGTTGGTTTATGTAAGATTTTTGTGGAATGTTTTTATTCACAGCCTCTGATCTCCCAGGAATGGGGAGAAGAGTGGAGGATCATGAGGTGGTGACGTTTTCTTGATCGGGTCCTTGTCAACAGCTGCCATACACTTTCAGAATTTTTCCTGTCTTTTAATGAACAATTTCAAATCAAGGCACATTTCTTGAATCAACTATATTCTACTTATGAGGAGTGCTTTTTTGGGAGGTTTTCCAGTCCTCTAAGAAAACACACTGATGTCAGGAACACCCCACAGGTTCATGAGACACACCAGGATAGGGCAGCGTCCCAGCAGCCATCAGAGTTGGATAGGATTGTGTTGGGAGGGTCCTCCTCACTCCCACCTCAGAAGCTAATTACTTTTTTTTTTTTGCTACTAAAATAGAACCCCTTAATGAAAAAAAAAATCATAAAAACAAATCTTAAATAAGAATGAGCTTTCTGTAATCTTTAAAAAAAGAAAATGCAAGATTACACAGATTTCACCAAAAAACTTAAAATGGCTTTTGATACCTTTTAAGTTGAACTCCTGCTAAATTTAACTCTGGGCTTCTACCAGACCAAAGGTATAAAATCTGCTCTGAATGTATTTCTCCCACAGGAAGCACGCTCCAGGGCTATCTTGAGAAGACTGCTTTTAAACACCTGCGGGAAGCCCTAACCACAGGAAGGCAGAGCTGTCTTCCTCTGCCCTTCTCATTTTCACAGGAGCACAGTCTATTGGACTTGGTTATGTTTGGTCCTGATTGATTTTAAATCTGCAAACTGAAAACTGAAAACATGACAGTGGTGTAAGATGTATCTAAACACTAACATTCAAGGAAAAATATCAGTTCCCTATCAGCTCAATTCCCCTTGTGCTGACTTGGTGGGGTCATCACCAAAATGATGGTTGCAAGTTGGTACATAAAACAAATTAAATAGACATGGTCCCTGCTCTGTGGTTCCCTGGCTCGGATTCCCTCCTGCCCTCTACCATTGCCAATGCTCTTTCTTCTTCATCTTTACTTTTATTATTTTTTTAGGAGCTCCATAAGTCTTCTCAGGGCCCTTGTTTCCCAGGGGCTTACAAGTCAAAACAAATAGAAATCTGGAGGCTGTTAACCTCTTTGAAACAAATTCATTGATTATATGTGCTATGTCTGTCTCCAATAGCATGCAGGGTTCAGGGCTGAACAGGGAGGAGGGAATTGATTAATGGAAACTTCCTTGCTTGCAGTAGGAGTTTGAAGAGGATGGTTTGAGCTGCTGTCGTCGTGATGAGAGGAGAGGAGGTTGTTTTTGCAGGGAGTGTGGCTTGGTCGAAGCTTCCAAGGCAGGAGGTGTCAGGGATGTTGACAGGTGATCCCCGAGGTGCCAGGGTAACAGAGTTTGATCTATGTCTGTGGCTCTTTTAACACTTTCTGTTTCCTGTTGTCTGATTTTAGGCCTGGAGGTCTTTTGAGTGACTCTTCAGATGCTTAACTTTATTTACAGAGACTGAAAAAAGTAGATGCTTAGACAGGTAGAATCCTGCAGCTTCCACAGACAACAAATCTGGGTCTTGGGTTTTTGCAATATTGTTTCTTTGCTTAGAAAAAAATTTCCTTCCTTTTTTCCCAGTCCCCTGATCTGACCCCACCAAAATATTCTTCACTCGGCTACTATGGGCATCTTTTAAGAATACAAGTCTGTTTTTGCTTAAAACTTGCAGGAGCAAGGCCAAGCCCTGTGCTGATTTTACAGGGTCTGGCTCCTGATTTCTTCCCTCTCAGACCCACTCTCCTACTCCATGTCCAGACTGTACAAAGGCACTTTGGATTCCTCCATGGTCCCAGAGTTTCTTTCATATTCAGGCCTGTGCCCACACAGTTTCCTCTGCTCAAAACACTTTTGTAGCCCACGCCCATCTCTTCCCTTTGCTCTTGTCACCTCCTCTGGACAACCTTTTCTAACACCTTTTCCTGTTTCCATGCTGCTCCCGTGGCATGCTGTGTTTGCACGCTTGGAGGCATTTACCACATTATATTTGTCTGTTTCCTCATTGTTCGCCTCCTTTATACTCCAATCTTAAATCATAGGGACTTCTTGTTTGCTTGTGAATTCTCGCTGTGCTTTGACACCTGGGGAGGCATGTGCTAAATATTTTTGGATGGAAAGCTGCCAATCTGGACTTTTCAGCTCACTATAGAGCATGATAAACCGACAGGTTTGGGCCTGGCCATCTGTGCCTGCCCACTTAACTGTGGCTGTACCTCTGCTGCCCACTTTACCACTGGATACCAGGATGCAAACAAGTTTTTCAGGAATCACTTGAGATTATGACATATAAGCAGCTTCAGCCTTGACTTTTTGAATAGCCAGGTATAGCAAAGCTGTTTGAGCACAAGCTAGACCCGCAGTTTGACAGACCTTGAACCCAATATTATTTTAAGAGCCAGGGACAGATTGATCATTTGAGACAAATAAGCCCCAGGGACAAAGTAAAGCTGTCTTTGACAGTTTCTTTTTTCTGTTTGTTCCTAATTGACACCCTACCTATCTTTTCATATGTTCACTCTCTTATAAAATCCAAATTCTATTGTGTGCAGAGAATAATGAGAACTGCTGTCTCAAGCAGGTGTAGTGGTGACGTGCCTGTGGTCCCAGCTACTCAAGCAGAGGGAGGAATTCTAGAGCCTGGGTAACATAGCAAGACTCTGTCTCAAAAGAACTATTACATCTTTCCCCATTATTGGCAGGAAGAAGGGCTTCACATTCACTATTCTAAAATGAAAGACACTATTTTTTTGGCAGCCAGACCCTAATATGTAACCCGCTTCCAGCTAATTATTCTCCAATCATCACCCATTTGATACACAGGAAAGTTAGATATTCCAAGATACATTAAAAAAAATTTAAAAAGTGAGGTGGGCAATTAATATTCACTTTAAAATTTACCCTGCATTTTATTTGTGGGCTCCACTGTTTTTTCTCCCATTAGGAAGTACACCCTCTGCCCACTGGAACTTGTAGAGCCTAGAGCTGGGGTCAGAGAGCTGTGGTTCTATTCAGGATCTCAAGAGGATGAGCAACACTCCCTGTGGCCTAGCTGACCATGGAACCCAAGGGCACCAGGGGGTCACCTCCAGCAGTGCTCTCAGGTTTGTAGCCATATCATTGCCACACCAAACTTACCAAAGCCTGGGTCAGAAAGACAATGGAGATGGAGGATTGCCTGCCCCAGATGGCCTGTCTCCCCTGCGGAGGACAGCTTTCAAAATTTTGCCAGCGGTCAAGTACTCCCACACGTTTTCCTCTTCTTTTTTTAAAATAAAGAAATGTCAGGAGCAAGTCCAGTATACCTGACAGATGAAAGTGGAGCTTCTCTGATGGAAGCCACGATAATAAGTTGGGTGGGGACAGGAGGGAAGGGTCCTGCCCTCCAGCTCCCTTGCTTTGTGAAGAGGCCAGACAGGAGCTGCTTTATAGAGCTACACTCTGGAATATGAGATGAGAAACAGCTCAGACTGCAGGATCCTGCTAAGGACCATTTCCTCTTCTCCTACAGTGTCCTTTCTAGAAGGATCCATGGAAGAAATTTCAGACAGCTCTTGCTTTCAGGAATCATTATGCTTGTGGATTTTTTTATATATTTATTTTTTAATTTTTCGGTGGACACAATATCTTTGTTTTATTTTTATGTGGTGCTGAGGATCGAACCCAGCGCCCCGCGCATGCCAGGCGAGCACGCTACCCCTTCAGCCACATCCCCAGCCCCGCTTGTTGATTTTTTTTATAAGTGGTTGGTTTATGTTTTATCTTATGGAGGTCATGACTATCTCATGGAGGCCTTTGGTCCTGGCTGCTACACAGCCTTAAACTGGTTTCATAAGCCTCCTCTGGCAGTTTCTTAGGCTTGCCCTGCACAGATTCCACAAACTCTAGAAACCAAGTCAGGAACCTGGGTATGATTTCTACCTCATTTTCCTTTGCCCCTGATTTTCACTTCATTTTGATTGAATTGTCTTACACTGTGATGTACACTACCTCAAATCCTTTCTGGAACAAAACAGAAGGAAAATGAACACATCCATGAATGAGTATATTTAAAAAAATAACCAAGCCAGATAGCTGTCAGATCTGACTGTGCTTACCTCGTTGGGGTGGAATCCATCTACGGGTTCAATGAGCTGCCAGGGCTGTCCACCTCTCTTCCGCCACTCCTCTATGACTACAGGACACACAACCAGAAGGTTACAGATGCCCTTCCACAAAGGTCAATGTCGAGGGCAAGGACCGAATGAGATGTCATCAGGACTGCCCCCTCCTTCCCAGGCCATGGTAGCCTCTGAGCTGTTGTCTTGGGCTGGGATCTTTTGGGACAGAAATGTGATTTTCTTCTCCTAACTCCAAAAGAGAATGCGTGAGCTTGCTGGATGAATGTGATTTGTGTAGCTGGGAGTGCAGGGGAAAAAGGGAACTCTAAAATACTCAGTGGTTTAAGTCCATCTCATTTTTCAGTGGACAGGAGCACAGCAGTGCAGGGAGGGAAATTTAGCATTTTATGAACATCTCCTTTCCCGGGCTGCCATTTGCAGACACTGCCTCCATGTGTCAAGCCATCACCTTGAACAATCCTACAGCATGTCAGAAATATAATTACATAAAATTATCTCAACATCGCTTTTAGAGAGAGTGTGGCTACAGAGAAAATATTATGAGCCCCAAAGTGATGAAAAGCAATAAAACTGTCCTTCAACAAGGATGAGAGACCAAGAATGCCAGTTGCTCCAAGGCAACGGTGCAATTAACACTGTGTTGTACCATCACCAAGCCAGTAAGAACTCCGGAAGGAAATTTCAAATCCCTAGAGAACCTCCAAAGAGACTTGTGCTTCCTGTCTGGTCATTGCCCTTGCTTTCCTGGTGTCCAGTGAGGGCAGAAGACACAGCTAAGATTCCTCTGGTTCTTTTCTCTTCATCCCCCAGAAAATGCAGGGCAGAGGTCTGTCCCTCTTTTTCTCCCCCTATTACTCCAGGGAAGGATGGAGATTCTATCCGGGGCTTTGACTGGACAAGGGAAGCTAGACTTTCCCAGGGCTGAATCAGTTAGAACTCAATTGCTTCTGCAATTACTCTGGATACTACAGCTTGCTTTCCTCACTTATTACCCAATCTCTGTCCCCAGAGAGGCTGCAGATAATGTTGACCTTCTCAGAGTTTAGGAAGAAATTCGTGCCACTGCTTTGGAGTCCTGCACACTGGATCATCAGTCCCTGTTAACTTATTTCCTGGTAGAATGGCCACCACTGAACAGCTTTTGCATGATATGCTTCTGGGTGTTATTGGAGGTTGATAGAAGAAGCAACTCTTGGTAAGTGGGCTTTGCATTTCTTACAAAACTGAGCTAGCTGTCTACTGTGTCACTGTGTCATGAGGTGTCCTCCACATGGAGCCTCAAGGGAGCAATTGCTTCACACTGATAAATGCCCCCCTCTCTCAAGGAATGGTATGCATCTGCTCTTCTGATAGGAAGCTCAGAGCTGTCTTGACACATTTGTTCCATTAGGTCAGCTTGCAGCCCTCAACAATTTCTTTCCTGCTGTGGCCATGGTATCCTGTAAAAAGCAGAGTCTCAGGGAAGTTTATCTGCCTCAGTCTCCAGTTTGCCTGGCCAGAGTTCTGCTGTTTTGGGGTCATCACCTTGAAATCAGACTTTCTGTTTCAGGTTCAATTATGTCTGCTCTGCCATTTCCTCTGTGTCTTGCATTTCAAAACTCATGTGTGGATCCCAGATTGCCCTCCCTGGTCACAATGCTGGCTTTGTATGCTCTGTGACCCTGTTCTAGCCCATTCCTGGCTCTGACTGACTCATATGCCATGACATTAACTTATGCTCATTTTAAACTCTTTGTTCTCTCTCTTGCCTTGCAGAAGATAGACCAGTTTCCTCCTCATCTATTGGGTCTTGCTTTTCTAGGTTTTTATTTTTTATTTTTGGTACTGGGGATTGAACCCAGGGGCACTTTACCACTGAGCCACATCCTAGTCCATTTTACTTTGTTGAGACAGGATCTCACTAAGTTGCTTAAGGCCTCGCCAAGTTGCTAGGCTGGCTTTGGACTCGCAATCCTCCTGCCTCAGCCTCCCAAATCTCTAGGATTATAGGCAAGTGCCACCATGTCTGGCTCCTGCTTTTTTATTTTCTAACTTTATGTTGATTCTTCATTGGAGCCACCTCCATGCTAAATGTCCAACAGGCTTCCCTTAAAGGAGAGCCAGGCATTTAGAAGGGATTTTGCAAATATGGAGCCAAAGTCAATTCTCTGTAGCCCCATTGATGTCCTTTGTGATCTCATGGTATTTGTCTCCTCCTCTCTCCTTGCAGTCCCACAAAAATCAACAAGGATGGGGACAGGCCCTATCCAGGTCAGATGCCGTCCTCTCCACCCCTCAGACTTCAGAGGTAACTTGCTTCCATGTGCCTGTATTCCTTTCTACTTCCCCCAAGTTGTCAATGAGATCTTTATCCCTTTCCTGCATCCTTCTTTATTTCTGATATTTTTTATTATGCCATATAGATGTTATCAGAAGAATGAATAAAAGAAAATTCCAACAAGATGTGGAATGGCCTGAATGTTTGTGTCCTTCCCAAATTCCTATATTGAAATCCTTGCTGTCCACCTCCTCTATGATTAGGAAGTGGCCTTTGGGATGTAATTAGGCCATGAGAGCGGAGCTATCATGAATGGGGACCCTTCCTGCCATGTGAGGATACAAGGAGGAGTTGGCAGCCTGCAACCTAGAAGAGCACTGTCACCAGAGCCCAACCGCATGGCATCTTGATATTGTGCTTTCCACCTCCAGAAGTGTGAGAAATAGAGCTCTGTTGTTTATAAGCCATTCAGTGTATGGCCCTTTATTACAGTGGCCTAAGATAGAGCCCCCTGATGCTGTTCATCAGGGGGCTCTGATGAACAGCTGTGTTAACAAGATCAGCCAGTGGGAACTCAGTCCCATCAAGACCTCAGATAGAACCAGCTGAAGAATTGCAAAGCACTAGATGGAGAAGACCCAGGCAGAGGCATCTTGTGTTAAATATATATACAGCAAGTCATGGAGCAGATCAGGTCCACTTAGTGTCCTATGGCCCAGTGGAGTGGGAAGTGTCACACAAGACTTTTTGACTCTCTGTGTTTATAGAGAAGGTTGAGTGACAAGTTCAATTGCAACCTGTCAAAATTCAGAAAAGAATTATAGTGATCAAGAGACTTAGAAACTCCAGAGTGAAAAGCAGATTTGGGCCTGTGAAGGAAACACAGCTTAAGCTCAGGTTGTGTTCCATGAGAGGGAGGTTTACTTGGAGCCTGGTATGAAAAAAGGTCAGACTTGCTTATACACGAGTTTTCTCCAGTGTGATTCAGTTTTGGCAATGTGATTAGTTTATTCTAAGCTTTTTTTTTTTCCATTTGAGTTTTCCAAATTTGAATTTTGAAGCATCCCTATTTGAATTTTATGTGTTTTACTAACTGCCAAACTAAAAACTATGGTCCTCAGAGAAAGGGAGAGGTGTTGATAGATATCTCTAAGGAACAGCATAATTCAACCATTAGTGATGATTTTCAAAATGAGAAGAGATGGTCAATACCTTCTGCTTCCTATGCAAGCTTGAGCAATCCCATAATTGTGGAAGTAATGAAAGAAAAACTCAGGAATAAAAGCATAAAGAGAAGGGAAAGGATATTTACTTGCTAAGTTTTGCCAGGGAGCAGATGTATGTATACCTTAGGTGGGGTCAGTGGGAGAGGGCTGCTTTTTAGTATCACCAAACTTGAATATCAATGATAGCCCATTCTTCCTTACCAGGAATCTTATTCCTGACTCTAAATCTCTCTCCTCTATATCAGTAGCCACTATGAGGGAGTCTAGTCTTCAGAAAATCTAACTTGCCATATAAAATAATACAATGAGTATTGAAAGAAAATGCCATGAGGTTACCAAGGCTATAATAAGTCCATTCACAGTGGAAAATATCATTTTCTCTGTGTCTGTGAAGGCAGTATTGGTCACCACATAGGAATAGACGTCAGGACTGTAAAATTTAAAGGTAGTCTTAGAAACTCACAGTCACGAGTATAAGGTTTTATTTGTACTTTGAGTATTCCTAGGCAGAATGATACTTTACCAAAAAAAAAAAAAAAAAAAAAAATCTCAGGATGAAATTCTACTTTCTCAGGAGAAATGCAATAGCAGACAGTGGTCTTTATTTCTTTTCAGATTGATTTCAGAGCCGGAGGGCCATTCAATCAAGAATAACATAGTAAGTTGGTCAGTTTCCTTCCTATCTAGAACCATCATTCAAAATAGGTAAATGAATTGCTAATCATTCTTCAGAAGATATGAATTAAAATGGAAAGATCATGGACCATCTGTTGGGATTTGGTGCATGATATGTCTTTATCTGTAAAGTCAGAGGAAGTCTGCTAATGACCAGCTTTTCAAAGATGTGATGGAGACGGTGGAGGAAGGCTCACAAGGCACTTGGGGGCTCTGATGAACAGCAACACGAGCAGGCATTTTAAGGAACTGGTTAGCACACGGAGTCACTGGCTGGTTTTACAGAAGTATCCGGGAGAGTGGGAAACCAAAGACAAGATTTACTCGGATTGAGTTGTCTTGGAAGCTGAGGGCAGCTGGAGGTATATTTAAAGTGTTGGTGTAAAAATGGCCCTATCAGCCAGCTGCCATTTCCTTTCCCTTTCTGGAGAGGTGCGATACAAAGAAAAAGGACATCACCTGCTCAAGTTGGCATTTCCTGAAGGCAGAAAAAGTTGTTTCCTATGCTTAGTTCACAACCGTTAGAAAAGGAGTCAGCAAAAGATAAAAAAGAATCTTTGGAGATGAGCAATCATCTTTTCAGTGCTGGACCGAGGCTGTCAGAGTGAAGAACAAATAGGTCTTATGCCTACCCTCAAGTGACAGGGGTCCTCAACAGCAATTCGCTCAGTCTCCAGGATGTGAAATTGGGAATTTCGGTGTCATGAGAAATGAGTATATTTGTGATGCAATAGTCAGCTCAAATATAGTACTGAAATGAGAAGAGGGGTTTTCATGGGACTATTAAGACTGCATATTTAATAAGTGACTTTACCGAGTTTTTAATTCTGATAGAGAGTGCAATGATAAAAAGCCACATTTCTACCATATCTTCCTCACAGTGACTCAATGAATTCTCAGCATGAATGGTGATGGGAGGTAGGCTGGATATTGAAAGAGAACAAACATGTATCACCTGGGAGAATGCAGGAGCTGCTTTATAAATGCCGATGATGATGGAGGCAGTGGGAAATGCTGGCTAACAGCCACCAAGTCCTTAGACTTGACAAGCTTTGGTCTCACTTCATCCTCACATAAACCCTATGGTTTAGTTACTGCAACTTTACATAAAAAGAAATTAAAATTTGAGTGGTTGTTTAGTTTGCTTGAGGGTACAGATCTTCTCTGCCTGAACTGGGGTAAGAACACAGATGTAAATTCTGGGCTTTTTCTATAACAGCACATTACACCCACATGAGGTGGATTTCCAGGTTAATAATGTGCTGTTCATACTGAAAAGTTACCCACAGAAATGGATTGGAGTGGATGATCCCCACACTTGAAATGCTAGCATATCAAGTTCCAAATGCCCTTACTTGGGCTTAAGTCAAGTCATTACCTCAGTTCCTGAAAACTAGATAAAAATTCTAGCTTTTTCAGAGGTAGACATGGTGGCACCCATCCAATCAATGTGGGCTGCTGTACCAGAAGTTTATGTAGGCAAGTCTAGAGCACTGTGTGTCCACTCTCCTATTCATTCTGTCCATGTATCCTCCTCAGTGGGGTATCTACTAACTTCACACAGAGAAGATGAAGAAGGTCCTGCACCTGAACCGAATCTTCGGTTATTTTTTTTAACAAATGGCAGGAGATTGCAAAATAAGAAATTCCTTGAACTGTGGATGAGAATTTTTAAGCACGGAGAAATACCTGGGAAATTGCAATCATGTTGATGAAGAATATTCAGTTCAGTTTAACTGAGATATCTATTTTTGTTCTGCATTTATTGTTGCCATGAAGACAGGAAAGAGCTGGCAAGGCTTTGTTTCCAAGCTTTCTAGTTCACCACTGGAATGCTGTGTCACAGATAAAGCTCTTTCTTCTCTCTATATTCTCTTGGAGATAATTCTGTTTGGTTGACAATGATATTCCAAGCATCTACACAGCTCTTGGCACAGAGAAGACACAGTTAAAAAAAATCTGATGATTGAATGACCAAGCTCTTAATCTTGGGGTAAGATATAGATGACCTGAAGATTGTGATTAGGAAGATCTGGAGTGAAGCCTGCCTTCACAATTGGCTCCCAGGTGGCATTCATTTTGCTCATCCCAAACCACACATGGAGTGGTAAAGGCATGACTATGGTTATGGGAACAGGTTATATAGCAAGCATAGCATTTATGAGCATGACACATTTCATATAATTATCACAAAGATTGTTAGGTAGATACGGCATTCCCACTTCCAGGTCTAGAAAGGGGCAGTTAGAGTTGTTCAGAGAATTGCCTACCATCTCAGAGATAATAAATGACAGGGCCAGCGATCACTCTGGAAAATATAAAAGTCCCATTTGAATGTTAGACAATATTATATTTTTAATAACTTTATCTATATTCAAGGTTGGTGATGATCAAAGATCACTTGGTGGTGCATTTGTTTACACCAGGAATTCATTAACCAGTCTTTAACTCTGCATTTTAATGAGAGGTTATTTATCAAAATGTCTCTCCCCATGAGAGAAATGTGTATTATGCAGGCAGGAAATCTAGTTAAGGGAGATCAGTCTTGTTGAAAAGATGTTCAGAGTTGAAGTACTAGGGTCTGCAATGCACAATGTGTCAACTAATGTAATATTTGATAATTCATGATGGCCATCTGCTCTATCCCAGATGCTTGGGCTGGAGGGGCTGGTGGTGGGGGATAGAGACGATAAACTCTGGATCAGAAATCTTCCATCCTTTGCATACACTGTAAAGCTTTTCATTAGCATCACCTCAGCTGGCAGTCAATCAACAGGGGGCTTTCTCTTGTATAAAAATTGCTTAGCAATAAAAATGAATCTGGAAGGATTACAATCAATAAATAATACTTTTTTCAGAGTCAAGATGTAAAGGATAAATCCATAGCTCTAATAATCATGCCTGTTTTTGTGGGGCCTCTCACTAGTGGACAGAACACTCAAAAAGAAACATGATATTCTTTCTAGAAAGTTGGGATGTAGGTTGTTTATTTCCCCCCACACAAACTCTTTGGTTCCTCCCTTACTGATTCTGATTAGGTTGAGGTTGAGGTTCATCCTGACTGGGGCCTGGGAATCTGCACTGCAACTGAGTCCCTAAGTAATCTTGTGTCCCACTGTGAGAGGTATTGTCTTACCCCTCACTTCTGGTACACCCATCATTAGCCTGTAGGTAAGAAGGACATTGCTGAATTGGTAAGAACAGGTTAGGTGATTCCATTAGTTCCAAGGCTCCCAGTCCAAAGCTCTCTCCAAGGATCGGTTCTATTCCTTTCAGAATTCTGAAGTGATGGCAAAAGTCAGATGGCAGTCATCAAAGATACAAACAATAATTCATACTGCAGAGGATGTGGAGGAAAAAGAATTCTTTTACACTGTTGGTGGGACTGTAAATAGTACAACCACCACTGAAATCAGTACCGAGGTTCCTCAAAAGACTAGAAATGGAACCAACATATGACCCAGCTATATCACTCCTTGGTATTTACCCTAAAGAATTGAAGTCAGCCTACTATAGCGATACATGCATACCCATGTTTACAGCAGCACAATTCACAATAGCCAAACTATGGAACCAGTTCATCAGTGAATGAAAGGATAAAGAAAATGTGTCATATATACACAATGGAGTTTTAAACCTACCATAAAGAAAAATGAAATTATGTCATTTGCAGAAAAATGGATAGAACTTGAGACTATTATGTTACGCAAAATAAGGCAAGCTTAGAAGGCCATTTTCTCTCATGTGTGGAAGCTAGAAAGAAAAAAGGAAAAGAAAAGTGGAGGGGGCACGGTACCTCATGAAAATCAAAGAGGAATCAGTTAAAAAAAAGGGACAAATAGGGGAAGTGCTGAGAAGTGCTATTGGCCAGATTATATTGTTATATTGTGTGCATGTATGAAGACATAATAACACATCCCACCATTACGCACAGCTATAATGCACCAATAAAAAATGTGGTAAGAGGAATAAAAAAGAAAAAAAAATAAAGTGATGAAGGAATGCTGAGCCCCAGCCCATTCAGAAAGAGTCTCATGCATTATCCTTTTACAATATGGAGAGCTACTAGTGAAAGAATGGGCGGAAGTAACCCTGCCCAAACTGCTGCTTTATTAACTCAGTGCCCTGGAAAGCTCTCCACTGCAGCTGCCGTGTTTGTTTTCTGTCAATACCAAAACCAAGCAACTTACTTTCTTGGAAGGCAAAATCCATGTAGAAAAGATTGAAGTTCGTAAATTTCTCACTGGTCGCAATTTTTTTCAGTGTATTGGAGAGTTGTTCGGCTCTCTGAATAGGAGGGAAATAGGGAGAAGTCCATGACACCTAGACTTTGACTTTCATGAGATAATTCAGGCAGAAAAAAGAAATCGATCTTCCCCTCCCCATTCCACCTTCCTTTCTCCAAGCCACCAGCAGAGAACAGCTCTGCACATTAAATTCTATTCATGTGCAAATGACCAGTGAGCATATGAAAAATGTTAGCATTCATTAGGAATCAAATCAGTGCAAATTAAAGCAATAAGATAACACTTTTCCCCCATGGGACTGGCATAGATGGGATGAAAACCTTGAGAACATAAATGTCCAGGGCTAGATGGATGAGAATGCTAATTAGTTTCATCATTCTAGAAGCGATTTGATGATATGGGTCACATCCATAAACGTGGGCATGGCCTTTGACACAATAAATTTTATAGGAATTTATCTTAAGGAAGTAGAGATGTCCTCACAACATACATCTTTATATGTATAATTGTTCATTGCAATGCTATTTATCATAGTAAAAACTGGAAACAACCCATATGTCAAACACCAAGGGATGCAATAAATCATGGTATATTCATAGGCTGTCTATTTTTAAATGGTTGTGTTATTATGATGTGAAGAAACAATATATAAAAATTGGAAAGCAGAAAAGAACATGTGTATTCTCATACTGTGTAGGCAAAACCCCAAATCTCTATTTATGGAAGTGATAATGAAAGACATATACACATAGTAACTTTGGGTGGTAAAATTTGGGGTGATTTTTGTTATTGTGTATTTTCTTTGTGTATTTTTATGTTATTTGTATTTTAAAAAATTGAAATATTTTTATTTTTAAAAAAAGATTCAATAAATAGTTCACCATCCACAAAAGTAGTTCAAACCATTTTACTTGAACAATGGGTTCCCTCAGAGACATCAGGAGGCTCCTCGTTGACCTCAAGAGAACTCCAGGGATACAGAGGCCTAACCTTGCTCAGCTTTCCACTTCTATGACTATATATGGGGCATGCTGTGTGTGTGTGTGTGTGTGTGTGTATGCACATGTGCATAGGGGAATGATACTGAGAGACACAGTGAGAGATCCAGACCCAGAGAGAGGCAGAGAGAGATAGGCCACCCCTGTCTCTTGGTGCCTCCAGCCCTCTGGCAATTTGCTTTTATTATTCATCATTGGCTTTTCATAATATTTCATATTAACACTTCTCACACTCTTGATGACCATCATGCTTCCAGATCCACCCCTAGTGAAAACTGCAGCAAACAAGAGGGACAGAATGATCCAAGATGGTCCCAAAAGACTGTGCCAGTCTTACCTACCTCTGAAGTGAGAGTCCGGAGCGTCTTGTTGGAAGTCAACCAGCCACTGCAGGGGCTGACCTGAGAGCAGCAAAACACCACTTTGATTAAAGGGGAGCAGCAGTCGGTAACAGGTGTGTGTGTATGTGTGTGTGTGTGTGCGTGTGTGTGTGAGAATGTGTGATGTGGCCTTGCAGCAAGTGTCAGTGAGCTCACCTGGAGGCAGCCCAGGAAGGAGTAGAGCTGTGCATAAGTCACGTCTTTATTTAGCTGGCCTGGAAAACAGAGAGGTTGGACATGTTGTGTGTACTCACACATAGCAACACTTAGAGACATTCATAGGTGCCTCTACGTCCCTTGTAGAGGGTGGCACTGCCAATGGGACTTTCCCTGACTTGTCATTTATCACTGCCTCTAAAGTTCAAAGCCAGCCTCAGAAACTTGGCAAGGCCCTAATGTAACTCAGTGAGAACTTGCCTCTAAATAAAATATAAGAAAGGACTGGCAATGTGGCTCAGTGGTAAAGTGCTTCTGAGTTCAATGCCTGGTACCAAAAAAGAAAAAAAAAACTTTCTGTGCTTTACTTCTTTCTGAGCCCCTAGAGATTCCAGGTTGGGGGAAGGAATTCTGAGGAGTTTACTCCTCATGGAGAGCTCTTGGTCTCAGCAGGGACAGGGCTAGAGGGCTGGTCTTATCTAGACTCCAGAAGCACTCTGAAGAGCAGAAGGTTTCTCCCGGCAATAGTATGAAAGGCCAAGTTCCTGTAGGGCACAGGGAGCATTCCAGGTGGTAGCTGACTAACTCCTCCTTTCCAACTTCACGAAACACTCAGGTCTGATCCAAGTATCACAAGCTAAAGACCTGGCAGAAAATTTTTTTTCTTTGTAAGTAGCACTCTGGTTTATCAGCACATTTTACACATACTTAGGCAATAGAATGTTTAAATCTACAGCAACATAGAGGACACACTACTATCCAAAAGAGAAACAAACAAAACAGGGATGTCTGGCAGAACATTCTGAGTATCTGAAGCTCTGACCATGGAGAGCCCTGAAGATGAACTGAAGGCCTTCCAATGTGGGTGGGATGGGGGAGGCCAGCACACATTGTCCCCTTCATGGCCCTGAATTGAGGTTTTCCCGGTGGGTATCTTATTGGAGCTCTAATTAGTACATATACTCTATGCTTATCTGTGGGTGCAGGCTAAAGGGGTATATAAGAATGAAGGGAAAGTGCCATATGGGGCCCATCCAGAACTTTTCAGAACATCAGCCATAGATCCAGAATCTTGGGGGGGGGTTATTTCTATTCCAATACTCCCCTCTCTCCCTCCTTCCAGCTTACCCATCCCCATAGGCAATCAACTTTCATGCTGTGGCAGACACATAAAATTTTCTACACTCCTCCCCAGTTCTCTGGGGTGAATGACGGATGCTGTATCCATTAACACTTCTCACACTCTTGAAAAAAATCAAAGGAGATAATAGGCCCTATCTCTGAGTGAAGAGAAAGATTGAAGGTGATGGAACACAGCCTTATTTTTCACTTATACCTTGGATCAGTTAGACTGAAAGATAAATTCCACTTGCTTGTCATAGAGGAAAAATATATTCTCTGTGTGGGTGAGTGAATCTCAGGACCAGAAAGCCATAGACTTATTACTGCTATTAAAGTCACAGTGACCCGCCAGCTCTCTCTTCAGCACAGAGCTCTGTATCTTCACATTTAAATGACTCCCAAGCCACTAGCTTTATCACATTGGCCCAACATGGAGCCTCGAGCTCCTATCTTTCCCCAAGTCCCTGCTTCCACCCACTGAGGCTTCTTTGCCCTCTCCTTTCCTTGCCCCATTTGGATTTTTGCAACTTGTCCCTTCCTCTGTATCCTGGCCTGTCTCAGCCCAGGGCAGCCTCCCTGAAGTGACTGAGGCCTGCAGCTTCCACTCCCCACCCTGGCCCTCTGCACATCTCAATGACTTTTCCCCTGGGGCAACTGCCTCTGAGCAGCAGCCTTGTTTCTGACTGGCCTTTGCTTGGGTACCTTCTGCCATCTTGGGACTGGGGCCTCCTGATGAACCGTAAGTGGCTTTGCTAAGGCTCTGACACCTTGCTGGGTCCTGATGTATTCCTGGCTGTAAGGGATGGCCTGCGTCTCTTTGCTCAGTGGCTGAGGTGTCTCCATACTTAAAGGAGGTGGCATCTCATGCCTAACCACAAGTAATGATCCTGGATCCTCCCTACCTGCTCCGTTAAGTGTGATAGCTTTGACATCCAGAGGGACTGGAGTTTGTCCTGTTCTGAGGACACTGGAGATCAAACCACTGAATGCTCCTTGGGGATTAATCCTGTTCACAGCCCGGTCACAGCCTGGCTCCAACCTATCTTACTCACCTGTCCCTGCTGTCCTACTCCTATATCCCAAGGTCCCAGGTACCTTGGGATGAGACCATGATATATTGTACATGGAAAGAGGTTCTGTCCGTGACTCCCTCATCAGATAGTCAATCCAGTTAAGAAAGTTGATCAAGAATGCTCAGAAATAGGGGCAAGATTAGAGGGACTGTCACACTGTCCAGGAATTATCCGTGTGTGTGTGCGCGCGCGCGCGCGCAAATGTACATGTGTTAGGGAGCAGTGAACTGGCCCAATGGCTGCCATATGTTCTCTTTGAAGATTAAAAGAAGTGTTCTACTCTGGCTGGCTAGAAGGAGCAGTTTGTGTCTCAGTAATTTGTAAGTTCTTGAGGACGGAATCTGATATTCGTTTAATGCTGGGAACATAATTGAAATCTTAGATACTATAAAAGCTTGGTACCAGTGAAGATCAGTCATACCTCCATGAAATACCATCTAAATGTATTAAACTACATTAATTCAGACTGGGAGAAAGCTGGTAATGTAATATAAACTACAAGGAATTTTAAAAGACATTGGTTTCAAGTTGAGGAGTAATGGGGGCAAGACTGACTTGCTGATTTATGGCAGAGGCCCTTTGGGGAAGGCTCACGTGCAGATTTCTTGGTAAACAGCAGACTCTGAATCTCAGTCACACTTGAACCTTCTGAACAACTTCTAGAATGTCGATAGCTTGTACTGCTGACCTTGGCACTGGTGCTTGTCACTGTCGGGATGTATACGCTCTCTCCCCAGCGGAGCTGTCTTTTCTCACTCATTTGAGGTCAAGGACTCCATCTTATGTCATCTTTTTGTCATGTACTTCAGACATATTTCTAGAATGATTATCTTCCTCTTATACCATAGCTGAGAGGACTTAAGACTGGTCAAGCTTGAATTTTCTTAAAAGCTCTATGCAAGCAGAATCCTAATATGTGACTTGCTGTCTGGTAACTCCTCACAAAGACAATGAGGAGTTCTCCCCAGGAATTTCAATTATTGGTGGAGATCGTGGGGTTGTCCCAGCTCTTGGCAGCTAGTCATTAACTGGCAGTGACCCCAAACATGGCTGGAAAGGAGAGAAACTAGGAGGGGTCCATCACTCCCTCCTTCCTGTCAGGAGGAAGATGGGAACCCACTCTTGATCTGAGCCTCCATCCCATGCTACTCAATGCTGTGGTATTTAACCTTTGCAGAATGCTCAGTCTGTGTTCTGCCTGACCTGTCCAGGGGGAAGGGAGGAAGTAGAGAATGTGTCATTGATCAGGAGTTTTGTCCCTACCCCTCTGCTGTCTAAACTCTCCTAATCCTTAAGAGGTGGTTAAGGTCAAACCCAGAGACCCATCACTATGCTTCTAGGCTCAGATATAGAAATGATTAGAACTCCACCCCCAACCATTGTTTTTTGCTGTGCACAAGTCTTGGCACAGTGCCCCAGGAGTTGGACTCCAGTGTTTGGCTCTTGATTAGGATGCGAACTGCTCAGCTGTGGAGAGTGACCAAAGCTGGAGGCTGGTTCCGCTTTAACCCTGCTTCAAGGCTGGCTCATGTCCAGCGGGAATGGAGATACAGAGGTTTGAGTTTGAAGTGAGAGTAGCAGAAAGGGACAGCTGGGTCACAGTCCTTCCTTCAAGGCTCTCATCTTATGTGAGTTGTGAGCCCTGCCAAAGGAGGACTGGGAAGGCTGCAAGAATCTCACCTACCTCCCCAGTCTTTCTAGGAAGGACCCTGATGCTTCTTCGAGAAATTTATAACTTATTTCCCAAGGCAACCAGGCAGCAGGGATAATTTGGGACGTGAATAATTACTTAAACATATTAAACAAATTGTAGATGATTTCAGCCTTTTCCTTAATTGGATTTTTTTTTCAAAACTAGGGTTTATATAGAAAACACTTGTTTCACCTTTTCCTTATTCCTCTTTTGTGTGGTGAGATGCCACTCATGACTAGTGGCCAGAAAGAGGCTAAAATTTCTCACTGTTGGTGCTATTGACATTCTTGGTTGTGGGGGGCTGTCTTGTATATTTCAGGATGTTCAGCAACATCCCTGAAGTCTACATCTTAGATGCTACTAGCAATCTTCCCTCAATCCTCCATTGTGACAACAGGTGGGGCTGGGGGGACTGTTTCTGGTCGAGAACTTCTAGTTTAGAGAATCTGCAAAGGTAAATGATGAGTCTCCCAATCATTATTTTTTCTTCCATCACTCCTTTCCAAATTGTAGGGAGTCATTATTATTTACTGTTGTTAGATTATGTAAATCATGGAGTATCTGAAAGAATTTATGGAAGCCGGGGATGGTGGTACAGGACTTTAATCCCAGCAGTTCGGGAGGCTGAGGCAGGAGGATGGTGAGTTCAAAGCCAGCCTCAGCCAAAGTGAGGTGCTAAGTAACTCAGTGAGACCCTGTTTCTTAATAAAATACAAAATAGGGCTGGGGATGTGGCTCAGTGGTTGAGGGCTCCTGAGTTCAATCTCTGGTCCCCAAATAAATAAACAAACAAATAAATAATTATGGAGGTTATCTGACCAGAAGTTTTTGGAAAGAGAATGGGATTTGAAATCAGAAAACCCAAAGTCAGTTCCCTTCTGATGTGATGAAGTAAATTGGGAACACACTTCCCCTGCCCCTAATTTCCCTTCTCCAAGCATTTCTTAGCATTAATGGAATCTGCTGGAGAGACTGCGATTTTCATATCTGTTGGCTCAGAGATGTTCTTAGCCTACGTGATTGTCCTTAAGGCCTTCAAGGCAGCTCAAAGTGGGACAAAATTCTCCTGGGTGTGTTCACACTGTTGTTTCTAAGGTGCGAGGTCAAAATTGTGTGAACAGGCAGACTCTGCTTTCCTTAGGGGAAGCGGGAAGGTGTTCTGCTTGGATAATAGCGTGTGTGGTGCACTTCAGGATGTCAAAAGGAAAGTGACTTCATCCTCAGTGACAGGGAGTCAGAACGCAGAGAGGTACCATTTTCCCCCAGTGAAGACTCAAGAGCCCTTTGAGAGCTGGCTAAAGGACACCTGCTCTTTTCTCATGTGAGCAGGGGTAGAATTTCCTGGGAGAGGAGGAGAGGAGGTATGGGTGGCTTAACCAGGAGCTGTGGGAGGACAAGGGAAAATGGAAATAATCCAAAACCATGTACGCAAGGGCAAGCTCTTGATGGCCTCAAGTGTGAAATCTCGCTCTCCACCTTGCTCTCTCAGTAAATTACTAAAGAATGTGTTGCAGGTTTCCCCCTCTCAGTTGCTCCTCTGACTCATGAAGAAAGTGCTTAGATCTCCAGCACAATTTAGCTTGGGTTGGTCTTGGAGGCAGGAAGGTTAATATGGGGAAGGACAGCCCCTTTCTCACTATTGCTGGACCCAGGTGCTATCAATTCAGGGCTGAGAGGAGGGAACCCAGCCCTCTCCTTGTAGATGCTCATCAGCGAGGATTGAGGCCACCACTCCCCAGCCCTCTTCCCTCTTTAATTTTCCTCCTTCGGTGCTTATCACTATTTAACATGCTTTTGTAGTCTTTTCCCCTCTGGAATATAAATTTTATGTAGGCAGGAATTTAGAACTATTGTGTTCATTGCTGGTTGCTCAGTACCTAGAACTGTGTCCTGGCACATAAGGGCACAAAATAAACAGTTTTTGAAAGGGCATTCTCCCCAGAAATATAGAAAGCAGAGCCCTGAAACACCCAGCTTAGTACACAATGCGCTATGCAACATTTGGTGAGCTACCTAACCTCTCCGAGCCTTAACTGTTCCATCTATAAAATGGAATTCATTAGTGAAAACATCTACTTCACAGGGTTGTTTTAAGGATCAGCATGTCAGCTCTTTCTAACGTGAATGATACCACTTTTATATTGTCCGTACAGTATCTGGAGTGGTAAAGCTACATTAGAAGTTTCTAGGGACTTTAAAGTCTTTCAGAGTCTGCAAGAGAGATGTAGATATAGGGAGTTAGCAGCCCAGAGGTCTGTGTTCTACAGAGTTCTAGAAAACTGGCCACATGAAGGCACCCACTCTGAAGTTGGGAAAAATCCCTCTCTGACTCAGGACTTTCTGTCTCCTGTTTGAACTTCTTCAGTTCATCCTACATTTTGTCTCTGTCAAAAGAGTTTCCTGATTTAAACTGTTATCTTTCAAATTTTCCTAATTCTTCATGAACTGCTTCTGCCCTTTCTGGTTTTGAATCTAACTCTGCCCACCTTTGGATAGTGACTCTCAGATGCTGCACAGGAGGGCTCGTCTCCTTCATCCGTTCCAACTCACATTCTGTACTAGCATTTTAGGCATCTTCCTATAAGGTTTTGATCATATGTACATCAAACCATGTATACATTGACATTGGTGAAGAGTAAAAAGTATTTTCAAATCAATACCGAGAGGATGATATCTGTTGTGCAAATTATCCCAGAGAAATGTGCCATCTGGCAAGCCATATAAAATGACATGGCTGCCATTGGGCAGGTGGGAATTTAGATACTTCAGAGTCTGCATGACATTGGAGTACAACTTCTCAGGAGTGGTCATTTTTGGAACTGGGTCAGTCTGCCTGTTGGTGGAAGAAACAAAAAATGTCTTAGTTGATTTTAAGGAGCAATGCATGCAAATACAAGATAACACACACACCCATAATGTGGTTATTTGTTCTATTTTCTATTTTTTGAAAAATGTTTCTGGCTTTCCATCTTTTTGGCATATAATCAACCCCTAACACCTTTGTGGGTGGGTATATCATGTGATCAATTCTGGCCAATGAGTTGTGAGCAGTTTGGTGGTGTGAGAGCCTCTAAAATGGTCTTTTTCTTTGCCACAGCTATGGGCAATGTTGTAGATAGCTGCCTTACCAATCTGAGTCCTGGAGCAGAGTTCTTTCATAATACCTGATGGACATGTGCAAGGGTAAAATAAATGTTGCTTTATGTTACTAAGATTTTAGGGGATGTTTGTTTCTGTAACATAGACTCACCTATCCTGACTTAGACTAGTTAAGACTAGTTAACAAAACCAAAGGGGTCTAGCATGGCTTATGATTTGTTTGACACTTCAAGTTCTGAAACTTGGTCTTGAAAACTTGGCACACATGTATCACAATTAGAAAAACAGAACCTCACTGAGAAATGAAGTTATATTATGTATCTACACTGTATTTTTTTTTTTTTTTTGGTACTAGAGGTTGAACCCAGGAGCACTAAACCACTGAGCCGCATCCACAGCTCTTGTTTATATTTTATTTAGAGAAAGGGCCTTGTTAAATTTCTTAGGGTCTTGCTAAGTTGCTGAGGCTAGCTTTGAATAACAATCTTCCTGCCTCAGTATCCTCAGCTAGGATTATGGGCCTGCACCACCATACCTGGCTTCATGTTATATCTTCTTTTTCATTCTTTTAGTTTCTATACTGAATTTGAACTTTAGTGCTTGTCTTGTTAGATGCTATATCCCTGCAACTCTATTTGCCAATCATTCATTTTATACCACTGTCTGTCTTTATACAGTAGTGGTGGTACTGTGCTCTACAGAAGATATTCTAATTTTCAAATTATATTTTTCTCTTCTTATTTCATAAAAGTTAGTAAAGTAGGAAAAGAAGGTGCTGGAAGTAGTTATAAGAAGGATAGGCCTAAGATCAAAGCACTTCAGAGAGTGGTAAGACAAAAATTAGTAGGCAGTGTATGTGACTGCACCAATGACACAAGACAGGTATTTTCAAGGTGGAAATCAGAAGTAAATTACAAATCTATAGCCTCATTTAGACAGTAGGGTTCTCTCTGTGGATGGTGTATGTAATTCCACACAATGTAATGGGTTTCTTGGACTTTCCTAAGGAAAGAAAGAAACTTGTCTGATTTTTACAAAACCTCAGCATGTAGAAATGAATGCTAAATCCATGCTTTTCATTGTTGTAAAAAAAAGCTTATATTACTTTTGGAATAAAAATCTCCCTAGCCTGTGTTACAAGCAACTGCAAGGATTTGAAAGTAGGTTGCTTACCTCCTGGGGGCATAAGGCTGGGCAGGGGCTTTGGCTTGATTCATGTATGTATGGAAGCAGTGCTAGAAAGACCTCCGCTTACAAAGGGGATATGGGCTGCCTTGTAGGTTGATTTGGATGGAGAGAACCCAGCCAGAGTAACCAGGTTTTGTATTCACTGTGTAGCTGGGGTGCAAAGGCAAGGCTGAAATGAGAAACGAGTTGGGTGTCTATTATACCTGTCTTGTGTCATTGGTGTGGTCACATACACTGCCTACTAACTTTTGCCTTGCCACTCTCTCTCTCTCTCTCTTTTTGTTCTGCTGACAAAAAACACTTTGGCACAAAGCAATTATACTGAGCTCTCCAGCCACATAAAGGTAGGATGAGTTAAGATAGAGCAAAATCTCCCAAACTCCCTATTTAATGATTATTGTTTTTTGATTAGAGACACAACCTTGATTATACACAAAGATATAATGAGCTAATTTGTACCACTTATGAAAGGGCACCCTCCAAGTTAAGCAAGCATAATCAAAATGACTAATTGCTAAGTGAAATAAAAATGGAAGCCCTGGTATCGCAAATGGAGCATTCTCCGGATATCTGTGTTCTGCCCTCTAGAGTTGTGTAATTTACTGTGTGCACTGTCAGTTAAATCCTTTGCCATGCATGTCAAACAGCAACCAATTCTTAATTCAGGTCCCCCATGCCATATGCATAAAAAATGCTTCTGGTTTCTGTCTCTGAAAAATTCATAGTGCTTCCAGGTGTGGTGGTGCGTGCCTGTAATCCCAGTGGCTTGGGAGGCTAAGGCAGGAGAATTGCAAGTTCAAAGCCAAGTGTTAAAAAACTCAGTGAGACCCTCAGCAAAAAGCAAGGTGTTAAGCAACTAAATGTGACTCTGTTTCTAAATAAAATGCAAAATAGGGTTGGGGATGTGGCTAGTTGAGTGTCCCTCAGTTCAATCCCTCGTACCCCCTAACCCCACCCCCCAAAAAAAGGGCTGGGGATGTAGCTCAATAGTTAAGTGCCCCTGGGTTAAATCCCTGGTACTAAAAAAAAAAAAAAAAAAAAAAAAATACAGCGCCATTTGATTTGTCTACTTTTTCCTGGAAATTTAGGGTAGGGAAGAGTTAGTATTGGCATTCTGGGGACCAAAGAGTGCTAGTGGTTTGGGAAAAATCTCATAGGTTCCTCACAACTAAAGCTTAACAGGCTTAGCTGAAGAGATCTAATATTTTTTAACCCAGGCATATGTGGTGCCATGTCAGCGCCACCTGGATTTTCCTGCCTACCCCAGTGACTGGGCATTCAACCCACCCCCAACACTGATGAGCTCAACCCAGACATTCAGACAGAAGGGTGAGAGACTGGGAGTGCACAGCAACAGAGGGAAAATGTGAACACCAGTCCAGGAACGCAATAGTTATACTTGGGGCAGTAGTGACACAGAAGTCAATGCCCACTGATATATACTCTGGCACATGTAAGGAACACATGGCCAGACTGGGAACAGCTAAAGAGCCTCACCCCTTGGGGTGGCTCAGAAGCCTCTTCTTGACCTAATGAATTGTGACTGGTCATGCAAAATAAGCCTGTTTACTAGGGTGCAGGGCTGGCCACAGTCATTTCATTATGCTTGCAGATATGCCCGCCAGATTTCCCCTGGCTGATGCCAGAGAGAGGTTGCCCCCTCTTGAGGAAGAAGGCAGACAGTTTCTGCAGAAAGCCAGCCTCCTCGAGCAGAGCTTATGCCCCGCCACCCGTCATGATCAAGTGTGCAGACCTTACACACAGCGGGTGCACATGCTTTTGCATCATCCAACTAAGAGTTGGGCACTTTCCTTCACACTAGCCAGTTGCAATCACATCACCAGGCTTCCATCACCAGGCTCCCAACCCCCTCAAGGGGGCCTCATAACACAGGCTGGGAATGGGGTAGGAACTCCTTGGCTCATACTCCCCTCCGCTTGGAGATGGATGGAAAATTCCTTAAGAATAGGCATGGCCTGGAGAAGGCTGGTTGGTTGGGAAATTCCTTAATCATTCCCTTTGTCAGCCAGGCCTCTGACTCTGAGAGCATTCCTCTGAGCAGCAGGAGTCCTCTCTATTCCCTTCACTGATGGTCTTCCTACCATTTGAATCCATAGCATGGCTTACTCACTAGCCCAGGCTCCCTGGGGCCTGTGACTTGTCAGTTCCTCTCAGTGCAGTGCCTGTTACCTGTAGTGGGTGTAAACTTAAGCACTGGCATTGCAGACAAATAATGGTTGGAGATGGGAGAGCACAGACAACCTGTATGGGTCTCCTGGCTCTCTCCATTGGGTGCAAAATGTACCATTTATGTATTCATACATTGCTGGTGGGACTGCAAATTGGTGCAACCACTCTGGAAAGCAGTATGGATATTCCTCAGAAAACTTGAAATGGAACCACCATTTGACCTGGTTATCTCATTCCTTGGTTTATACCCAAAGGATGTAAAAGCAGCATACTACAGTGACACAGACACATCAATGTTTATAGCAGCTCAATTCACAATAGCTAAACTATGGAACAAATCTTCAACAGATGAATGGATAAAGAAAACGTGGAACATATACACAACAGAATATTACTTAGCCATAAACAAGAATGAAATTATGGCATTTGCTGGTAAATGGATGGAGCTGGAGAATATAATGCTAAGCAAAATAAGCCAGTCCCAAAGAAACAAAAGTCAAATGTTGGATATGCAGATGCTAATTCACAATAAGTGGGGGGCTAGGGAAGAATAGAGGTACTTTGGATTAGACAGAGGGGAGTGAAGGGTGGGGAGGGAGTATGGGTATAGGAAGAATAGTAGAATGAACTGGACATTATTATCTTATGTGCACATATGATTACACGACCAGGGTAACTCTACATCATGTTCAACCAGAAGAATGAGAAGTTATACTCCATCTATGTATGATGTATCAAAATGCATTCTACTATCATGTATAACAAATTAAAAAAAAGAAAAAATATATATCATTTATAATTTCTATGCCCACTGAAGAAAACAGAGCCATGTCAATGGGTGTGACTAGTGTTAGATGCTTGTATAGTTCTGTGTCATTTCCAGGAATTCCAATATTCTTTCCAGAGATGACCTGTTAGGATGTTGGGGAAGGGCTGTCACTGACCTTTGTGATTGGAGGCTGTAAGCCATTTCCATTTCCCCACCAGTGCCTCCACTATCCAAACATTCTACCGTTGTAGCTCACCCCATTTACTGTTTCTGGGAAATTTTCTCCTGTATTATTCACATTAAATAGCTTTCCAGGGTAGTGATAGGTGAAGCCCAAGGAAACTGAGTTAGCAGAGGTAAAATTGAATATCATTACAATGAGAAAGTTAAGTACATTCATATTATCTTCCTTTTGGAATTGCTGACACTAAAAGCTATCCTCCAGTCATGACCTTCATTCACTTAGCTAGTATTTAATGAGAAACTACGTGAGTTTAGAGAGTTGTGAAAGAAGTACATAGCTGCATTGTTTCAGTAAGAACTGGCATCACCGCGAAAGAAAAAGGAATGAAAAAAGTCAAGCACATATCCTAGAATAAGTTCTAGGACAGAATTATTATGCAACTCCTGGCTGGCTCAGGCTTTATATGAAATCCCTTTGCTCATTTTGGGATATCTGTTCCACCTTGATGTTCTGGCAGATGGGGAGGTATGTTGCCATCTGTCTTTATTTTTCTAACCCCTCCATAGGACATCACAAAGTGGGCACTGCAGGGACATCTCATACTGCCAACTCTGTTTGCTGCTTCTCTGCCCAGATCTCAGGCAGGGGAGAGGCTGGCATAAGTCTCTGGCTGATATCTTCCTGCTCTTTGGCTCTTTGGAAAAAGAGAAAGCAGGATGGGGCTTGGGGGTCCCCTGGGTAAGCAAGATGCTCTGGAAAAGTACAATTTCAGGAATTTTGGCTTTTGGAGTCAGAACCTCTTTCTGCAGGTGCTTTTTACTCAGTATAACCCACTTGCTCTCTGTTTCTCCCTGGGTGACTTTAGATGGGGGCTGGAGGGACAGGGTTTGTTCTCTTTTTGTGATTGGGTCTCTGGGTTGCTCCTCAGTGCTTCTTTCTCTGTAAGCTGATTGAGTTCAGGGACTATGACAACTTTGCCATTGAATTCAGAGCTTGTCCCAGTGCTTGGCATATGGTGGGTACTTAACAAATACTTAAAAAAATGACTAGGTAAAAGGAAGCAAAGAAGTTCACAGTGTATGATCAGAGCACCTGGCTTGGCTTCAGCCTTGCTACTTGATAGCAGTATAAGCAAGTTTCTTAATCCTGTGAATCTCAGTTTCCTTATCTGTGGAAATGTAGGCAATTCTACCTGCCTCTTAGGGCTGCTGTAGGGATGAAATGACATCGAGTGGCATAGCTCTTGGCTCATGGCAGGCCTTAGGAACATTTGCTATATACTGGAAAGCCCCAGGTAACTCACCATACAGGTAAGGACCTTGGATGGCCTGGGGTTCTGGGGAAAAGAGCAAAAAAACTTAGGACAGGAGTGGGGCTGCCCATCATCTCTGAATCATGAAGTGGTTTCTACTGCCCTGAACTCATTTCATTGATTATATCTACACCTCCTTCACCATCAGAGTTCTACAGAGGTATCTGTGAAAGAAAACACACTTTAATATTATTGGACATGGTTTTTAGCACAGGCTTGGGAAACTTGGTGAGTGAAATAGGGCAATAAAAGGGTGGGCAGTGAACAGGGTGGCCCATTTCCTGCTCTGCCATTAATCAATTTGTGTGACCTCAAGTGCCTCATGGAACCTCTGTTGGTCTAACTAAAACAGTGGATGGATGGCCACTGGGGAGTTGCTCTAGATCCTATCTCACCTTTTATTTATTTATTTTGGGCCAGATGGCATTCACACAGCATATTCTTAGAGGAATATGCGTATTTTTATAAACCTCCCCAAATGTTGAGAGGGAAGTAAGTCATTTAACATTTTGAAATCATTACTGATATTAGCATTTTAGCAAAACTACTTTTTTAACTTTTTTTTTCCTACTCTGGGTCATGGGTTGACCCATATATAGGATTGGCTTGAGTTATATACATCTTCTTTACAAATAGTATAAGTCTATGTTGTCTCTTCCACACAAGAAAGTAATCAGAATACGAGTCAGACAGGGATAACTATGCTTCATTTTATTTAAAAAGTCATCAGTTTTCAATCTGGGATTCTTGGTTAGGAGTAGTCTATTTCTTGTGATATAACTCATGATTGGTCCTGACACACCAATTTGTTGTAACCTCAGAATTGTGCATTAATGGATCAGTTACAGTACTTTCAAAAGGGGCTTTCAGCTTCACAGGTTGCTTCTATTGATTTCACAGATCTAGGACTGGCTTCTAAGATAGAGAAATTCATTAATAGCAAGCCACAATAATGGAGTGGAGTTGGCGTTGAATGGGGTTGGAAAGAGGGGACCCAAAAACTTTCGAAAAATTTTCTTTCTCAATAACTCACCCATTGCAGACATCATTTCCAATCATGGCATATATGACAGTGGCTGGATGGTCCAACAGTTGGTTCCTAGACAAGCTGAGAAGCCATAGATAGACAGAATCTGGGTGTCAGACACTGAGCTTTGCAACCAGAGACAGGCTGGGCCTGGGGGGAAATCTTTGTGTGATTGTGCTCTCTCTCTCTCTCTCTCTCTCTCTCTCTTAAAGGGGCAAATATTGAAAGGATATGTCCTTCTATGGGCCTTTGTTGCCTTCTGGCGGTTAGATGACTGCCATGGGGTACTTTATTTAGGCTCATGACCTTGATATCATTTATAATGAGAAAATGAGACCAATGAAGACCACCTTGAAAGAAGGGTACCCTTGAAATGGACTGAAAAATTCAAAAGGTGAAGCTTAATTTGAGGGCTTTCTGGCAGATATTTCTATTTTCTTCAAGGTGCAAAGAAACAAAAAGAGACTCATTGATTCAAATGACTAATATCTGTTGTATGTCTACGATGGGCCGGGTACTATGTCAGACCCAGAAATGCAGTGAATGCTCTCTTGATAAGCTTTCCTCTATTTCTCTTTCATTCTGGTATGGCCAATCACTGTTCCCATTTCCCTTCTTCTCTACAACATTTAGCCCACTTTTCTATTTCAAAAATACCACATTAAAAGGAGTGCATTGGAATCCCAGATATATAGGCACACCACCATCTTCTTAGCATCTTTCACATCCCTTTCTCATTGATAAGCACATGAGTAACCTGGGTGATTTATGTCCAGGCTCAAGGACATCCTAACAGTTGTGGTCCTATAGTCAACTTCAAAAGGGCAAAGCTTCCTAAGACTTCCATTCAGGTCCTTACTTGTGAATTTTAAGCCTAAAATGACACAAAAATATTTTCTTATTCATAAAGCAAGAATATGACATATTTTTTTTTGTCTTTTTAGTTACTTCTGTTGTACCTAAGTTTTACCTAATTTGTATGCATTTTTATGTTCCTTCTTTGAGAAACCTACATAAATTAATCACTTCCTATGCTCACTGGTCTGAGAAGCGATATACTTGTGTTTGGATAATGACTAATGAGTTATTGATGCTCAGTAGAAATGATTATCAGGTAGCAACAGAGAGTTTTCATTCCTTTTTCAAAATGAGAAACCAAAAGCAATTTCTTAGATCCATTTTCCACTTACCTTTTTATAAATTCCTCCAGGTTATGAGAAGATGCACCTGAGTGATTAAAATTAAGAAAATAATAATTGTTAGTGAGTTCAATTTAACATTATCAAATTGAGTATGAGAGTCTAATTGGGTTGAATTCATGGAAGTAGAAGCATTATTGTACAATCTACAGTCAACCAGATCATCACACTGTTGGAGGTAACTTGCTTTTGGTGAGTTTCTATAGTGTTTTATCCTGTAGCTCTACTTCAGGGGTTTTCTGTTTATTTTACATTATATTAAGATAGTCAAAAGCCCTTTGGATTCATGGGTCTCAAGAAATTTCCTAAACATGATTGAATGAACATTTTAGTTGGTCTGAGAAAAAGGTATATATCTATCATCAAAGAGACAAACTACTCCAAATTAAGTAAGGAGTTGAAGGACCAGAAAAACAGTGAAAAGGATTCTTTGAGAACTATGCATCTCCCTGGAGAGCTCTATTTAAACTCCTCCTAGCTTTTCTGCTCACTCCTGAGGTTCCTTCAGGCTGTTTGGTGAGTGCAAGATTCAGATTGTAGAGTGCATATAATGGCATGTGACCATCAATGTATCTCTTACATGAAATAATGCTTAATGAATATTTATTTTATTCTACATATTGTTAAACACTTAGTTCATTTAAACATCAGAACTATTTTTGAGTTAGGGACCATATTATTCCTATTTTAAAATTTTTAATTTTGTTTGGTACCAGAGATAGAACCCAGGGGCGCTTAACCACTGAGCCACATCCAAAGCTCTTTTTTTGGATTTTATTTAGAGACAGGATCTTACTGATTTGCTGAGGGCCTCGCTAAGTTGCTGAGGCTGGCTTTGAACTTGAAATCCTCCTACCTTATGCTCCAGAGCCGCTGGGATTACAGGTGTGCATCACTGTGCTTGACATTATTCCTATTGTATAGATGAGGAAACTGAGGCTCACTTGTGACTGGCCCATAGTCACACAACTACTGATATGGAGAAACACAATTTAAACCAGTCCCTTCCATCTGCAATGCAGAATTCTGGTTTCCTGTGGAACACTGCTTCTCATCCAGAAAGAGTGAATATGAATAGGTTTATTGCCTTTTTATCTCTGGGGGGGCTAGTCTACAATAGCTAGTAGTCCTCAGACAGGTATGCAAATCAGTGGATGAGAGCTGGAGAAAAAACATCCAGTTGCCTCTTTCCATGGGAAGTTTCTCCTATAACTTCCATCCTTGGACGCTTGGGAGGAAGGTGTGGGTGCTTACAGATCCACCTGGAGAAAAGAGCTGTGCACACCCAGGAAGGGCATGCCAACCAATGTTCCCTTGAGCTGTGTAACCATTCAGTGGTAACCTCTTTGTCACATAGAATTAGTTGCAAATTGTATAAGCAATGTTAATGTTCTCTTGGCTGAATCAGGAATGTTAACGCACTGGTACCAGGGATTGAACTCAGCACTTCCAATTGGAAATATACCCCAAATATTGGAGGCACTAAGGACATACATTGTTGTATAACAATCGCTGCTATCCAGCTCCAGAACTTTTCCATCATCCCAAAGTGAAACTCTGTAGTCAGCCTTTAATGACTGATAGCTCTAATTAGTACCGTTTTCTCCCAGTCTCTCTGAACTTAACTGTTCTGGATACTTCATGTAGGAGGGTCATGCAATTTGTCTTTTTTTGTGTCTGGTTTATTTCATTTAGCATAATGTCCTTGACGTTCATCCATGTGGTAGCACATAGCAGAATTCCTTTACTTTTAAGATGAAATAATATTCCAATATAGGCCATATTTTCTTTATCCACCCATATACTGACAGACATTTGGGTTGTTTCCACCTTTTGATTATTATAAATATCAGTTTCAAATTTCTGCCTCCAATATTTTGGGTATATTTCCAATTGGAAGTGCTGGCTTATTTATTCATTTTTTTGAAGACTTGCCCTACAATGCTTATATTTCATTTTTGGAGTGAGGCAGTATTTATTAAAAGTGCACACAGTCAGCATATAAGCAGGTGGTACATGCTTGTAATCAATCCCAGCAGCTCTGGAGGCTGAGGTAGGAGGATTATGAATTCAAAGCCAGCCTCAGCAAAAATCAAGGTGCTAAGCAACTCAGTGAAACCCTATCTTTAAATAAAATACCAAATAGGGCTGGGGATGTGGCTCAGTGGTTGAGTGCCCCTGAGTTCAATCCCTGGAACCACCCTCCCAAATGCACACGGTCATATAAATTAAGGGTAACCAGTCATCTCAGCATGCATGCCTTCCTTCGCTCTCTGCATTCCTTTGTGAGCACTGGCTACAAGCCTGTCATTTAATAGGGGAGTAACAAATGAGATGGATGCAACCTCTGTACCCGAGGAGTAGTGTCTGTGGGGGTAGATATATAATAGAGTGCTGGGAATGATTTTTAAAGGCTAGTTCAAAAGCTTGAATAGAGGAGAAACCCAGTGTAATTGGGGGGCTTATTATCTCCACTGGGAGAAGATACCTGATATTACAACACTGATCCTAAGTGTAGAGACTCAAAGTATTTCTGGATGTTCAATTGCTCTCTATTTTCCTCCAGAGGTAAGAGGAGTGTGGCCCCTTCATGACAATGTGGTACCCTGTAATGCTCACTTGTCCCAGGCTCTTCATTCGGTTCCACCCCATGACTCTCCACTTCCCATTTTCAGTAGGATAATAAATCAGGAGGTGTTTAATTCTCACTCCTTGATTTTTCTCTTAATGAGAAAAGGAAATTAATGAGGGCTCAAGCCATGAGTGGGGAAAAAATTAGAGGACCTGGTTAGGCCAATAATTTTCCTCATTATCTAGCGTAGCACTGGGAATTTGAGGTGCAGAGCACCCACAGAGCTTGAGGAAAACAAAATGAAAGCTTGTCATGGCACGCCACTGTCAACATCACCTATGTCCCTTTGCTACTCCAGACAAGGACAGGAGACCAATGGCAACTGGTTGTAGTGGATTTAAAAAAACAATTACAAATAGCCACCCAAGGAGCAAGGAATTGCCTATTCTTTTACCCGAGTGACTTATTTATTCTGATACGTGTTCACACTAGGAGCACAGAATTCTCTTTGCTCTAAAGTTCATTCACCGTCCATTTCCTTTGGGAAGTCTCAGTTTTATGAGATTATCTAATTAGTTTGTCACTGCCCTATTACTCCCTTTTATTAATTACCCTTCTTTTTAATTTTTTTCCTAGTAGTTTTATTATTCTTTTGCCAGACTCATGGGCATTTTTTATTTCTCTTTCTTCCCAACCTCTATTGTCCTTCTTCTGTATATAATCTTCTCCCCAACTGCTGATTTTGCTCCTGATGCTGCCATTTGAGAAAATATCGAGAACTGGAGGAAGCGAGCAGGAAGGAGAGCTTGTAGACTATGGGATGTGGCAAAAGAAGGCAGACATTTGAGGAGCTCAGAGTTTGTATGCTGGTCTCTATAATTATAATTCAGAGAAATGGAAAAGGTTTGACCTTAGAATAGGAACATTTAATTTATTTGTCAAGGTGCTCCAATGGAGGACTTATCTGTCCCCAATTAAGGGAAAAAGACGGTCTATGTGGGCCTTTAAAGTCTGCACTCTGGCCTTTTCAGTCTCTTTTAAATAGGGCACAGCACATTGCAAGCAAAGCAGGGTCTCCCATGAACTCAGCATTGGTTAGCCCTCCCTTTGTAAATGAATTTCAGCTTCCATTTCCTCTGCTGAGTCAGAGCTGATCATGCCATCAAGCACCTCATATTCTGTGCATTCAAATCAATTGGTAAGACAATTTCAGTGGTCTTCTCCATGAGCTTGTAACTTTCAGTGCTTGGTTCAGAATAGGCACTAACGCTCAAATTCTTCATGGAAAGACATGGGGAATATTAGCTAAAAGTATAATAGGTATTCATAAATTAATTCATTAATTATTTATTAGGTACTTACTATGTGCCAGGCATTGAAATAGGTGCCATGGATGCAAAGGTATATAGAAAAGACATGATTCCCCTTCTTATGAAGCTTACAATTATTTATCCAGTAACAAACATAAAGTTTCAGAGAAGCCCTGAAGAAGGGGTGTATTAAACTGAATCTCAAAAGAAATTCAGATGTTTCCTAAACTCCTAAGATAAAAAATTGTTAATTAATTCCCAGTGAAATACCCCATGTGGTTTATAAACTAGTTAGAAATAATTTTTTAGTTTAATGCTACAGTTGTTATAATTATCTGTATTGTATAGGGCGCATCCAGGTTTTCTCAATTCTTGTACAATTAAGGGGATCCTCTTTAAGAAAACAAACAAACAAACAAATCAAAAACCCCGCAAAACACAAACAAACCCTGACATTACCAGGTGAGGTGACATTATACCTATAATCCTGGTGACTCAGGAGGCTGAGGCAGGAAGTTTGTACTTCAAGTCCCGCCTCAGCAAACAAGAGAGTTCCCTGGGTTCAATCTCAGAGTTCCCTGGGTTCAATCTCTAGCATCAAAACAATACAAACAAACAACGAACAAGCAAAAACAAGTCCTGACATTAGTCAGAAGCCAGAGTAGAAAGAGAGGGATCACGACCAATTTTGGTAAAATATCTTATGACTGAAAACTTTATGAAAACATGTGGTCAGCAAGTGTTTGAGGAACCCTCAAGCTCCTGCATTATTAGCTTCAAAACGCTGCCTCCTAGCACTCTTTAGAGTCAAGGAGCTTCATGGAGCATTAACCCTGGATGGAACCTGAAGACATTTGGTCAGGTATCCCATTTTACAGATGAGGCCCTGAGAGGGAAAGAGACTATGTCATGATCTTATAGCTATTGAGCAATGTCTTAGCTAGTGATCCATTTCAGAGAGCTATTTAATCATTGTAACGTCCATTGCTAATAGACAGTCATGATCAGAAATAGATTATTGTAGTTCTTTCAAAAGAATCTGTGGAAAGAACTATGAGATGCATTTTAGTTTATTGACTGCAAATGCTCAAACAAGCCATGAAATGGCCTGAAGCAATGATCTGGATTAAAGGTAACAAGCTCAGA